TAAACGGTCTGCACATATCACTCATATTCTATTCAACCTCCACTGGCTGCCTGTGTCCTCTCGTATCATTTATACAATTCTTCTGCTTACCTTTAAATCACCTCACACTGATACCTGCAGAACTCCGAGAGAGAGAGAGAGAGAGAGAGAGATCACACTCACACACATACTTTACATCACACACACAAATGCACATGCAGCACATACTAACAACACTTCAGCATACTTTAATTCACAAATAATTGTATATCAAAAAGGATTTACTGCTGCTACTATTTATAGTAGCTACTGTTTATAGTTTTTGCTATATATTCTATTCCCTTTTTTGCTATTATTACTTGTTTGTATTCAATGTTGAGAGCAGTCAGTGAGAAAATATTTTGTAATGTTTACATCCTATACCAGGGTTCCTCAATTAGTTTTCGCTGAGGGCCGAATTCTGCCAGCAATACAAAGCCAAGGGCCACTGACCTATATATATATATTATATATTATATATTATTTGTTCAAATAGTCACGAGATGGTCACAATATAAATATTCAGATTTTTTTCCCCAGTAGGCTGTTTTATGCAAACAATTATGAACATTTTCGCATTTAGATACAGAAGAACTTTGCCCGTTGAATATTAAAAACAAAGCGTTTGGTCTCAACGAGAATTACAAGGAAATAAATACATATTTGGGTGGTGTAATATAATAAAATGTTTTAAGATAACCCATGTTTTTTAAATTACTAAAATACCCTAAATAGACTATAATAAGCCATAATAATTCACCACACTGCATGTATGCACTAGGATGTATGATAAAACGACAAATTCAATCGCACAGTTTCACCTAATCAATTATTTATCGTACCTTGTCAGTGTTGTGCGCTTTGCTTGGCCATTTGTTGTGATAAACAGGAAAGTGTGTTCAAGCGCCAGCAAAACACAGTGTAAAGAAATACTCTTTGAGATAAGCAGTCAATCAGCAGAAGTTAAAAGCAGCTTGTAAGTGTATTTATTTCTTGTCTCAGTGTTTAGCGCAGTTGTCTTGCTAGGAAACGCTTGTTTTGTTTACTGTGGAGAAGTGCTGAAATCGCGTTTGGTCTTGTACTGTATCGCGTACCTTGTCAGTGTCATGCGCTTTGCTTGGCCATATGTTGTGATAAACAGTGGTCACAAGATGAATATTCAGATTTTTTCCCCAGTAGTCTGTTTTATTCAAACAATTATGAACAGTTTTGCATTTAGATACAGAAGAACCTTGCCTGCTGAATATTAAAAACAAATGAACAAACGAAAAATCTGGATCTCCATGCCTGCCATGCAAATCAACTGTTCCTGCTCATCTCCAGACTGGATCTCTTCTCTCCACTTTCCCTAATTGCAGATTCATTTATTAGATCTGTCAGCATTAATATTTTTATACTTAGATTTTTTGGGGGATCAAACTGTAACACTGTGTGTTCAAACCAGACTCGACGCGACGTGATAAAAAGTATCTTTTCCATGTAGTTTTTGTCCTAAACACCCGCGACAGCGACACGTGACAATTTTTATTTTCTGCGATGTCGCTCGCGGCAGGAACAACATACAAAATATGACAGCGATAATCTCAGGTAATGATTATGTGCTTTATTCAATGTTAAAAGTGTCTAATGTGAGTTTGAATATTATTCTGCGTGATCTTTATAGCCATAGTGAAAGCGACAATAGATATTTTACCTCAGATCTTGAAAATAAATTAAAGCAAACTTGTACGTTAAAACTGTGAACTCACTGCGAACCAGCACGTTTATTCCATAACAAAGATGGTATCAGTCACTCACTCACTCAAAACTGTTCAGTCCATTCACATCATCTATTTTCCGTGTCCACTTTTCTTTTCTACACACTCGCCATATTTTTGCTGTCACATCGTATATACACTGGGCACAACAAAGCATTGCAAATCATTTGAACTTTGTGTCAGTACGTCATAAATAGACAGTGTAGACAGCATCACTGATTATAATGGATTCTATTGTATTTTGTTGCGTCGCCTCGCGCCGCTCGCGTCCGGTGTAGACACGATGTAAGTTAATGATGCTTTCTGAAGCTGCGTTTGAATTTTCATGCCACATTATTTGAAATTAGCGCGGGCCAAACATTTTTCTCTCACGGGCCGGATGTGACCCGCAGGCCCCTATTGAGGAACCCTGTCCTATACTGTGTTCATTTCACCATCTGTACACAAACGTAAGTAGTGAATGCGTGTGTCCATGGGTGGTAGTGTCTGTGGGTAGGGGCTGTGTCGGTGTGGTAATGTGGGCCGGTGTGGCTACAGTGCCAGGGCTGAATTTTTGTCCCAGTCCGCCCCTGGTGGGGAGCATGACAACGGAGTTGAGGATCCAAGTGCAGGCTTTATTCATAAGAGTGGTCAAAACAGGCAGGGTCAAATACCAGCAAACAACATAAGCCAAGGCAGAGGCAAAAGAGTAATCCAATAAACAGGCAATGGTCAGGGCAGGCAGCAAACGATCAAAAACAAGATAAACAGTCCAAGGTCAAAAACAAGCAAGTCAAGGCAAGAAACATGGAGAACACATGGGCTACATCCTTCGAAGGACCCATTTGAAGGCCGATTGCATCACGGCAGCGTGACGAAGGCTGTCCCAATTCAAAGGCCGCGTCCTACGAAGGCTGCATTTGAAGGCCGGTTGCATCACCGTGACGCGACGAAGGCTGCCGCAATTCGAACGCGACGTCAAATGTGCCCTCCGTTTCTCCGGCAAATGAATGATCCTTCGCAGCCTATTATATCTCAGAATTCATAGCACGCCGGTGGCGACGGGACTTTTATTCAAACAAAATAGCGGGTGATGGTTCTGTGGTGGCCGACGAATACACTTAGAAATGTTGATAATTCCTGTACTTGGGACAAAAACTCTGCCATTGTGGCTCGGAGGTAAGGCATTACCCATCTGTAATATTTCCACTAGGACCTCTTTGTGTTCACAACAATTATCCCTCACCCATATACAATGCCCACAACAATAAGACAAGTAGGCCTATAAGGCTACTTAATAAGTAGACAAGTCTTTAACTTGTATTTTTATTTTATTTCATTTTTTATTATTTATTTATTTTGTAGCAAGATATGTCCACAAATGTTTTAGGCAAACTTGATGATCCAGAAATATGATTTCTGAAGTATTTTGTATGCACATCCTGCTGTCATATTTTGTAACCTTAAGATTGCAGCCCTGTCTTAATTTTCTTTCCTTTTTCTCTTCTTTTAGGATAGTTCTGGAGAAAATAGTGCTTCTGGGAAACTTAAAAATGAAATTAAGTTATTTATTACTTTTGTAATTTAAGGTATTTGTAAATGAAGCAAAGTAATTTCTGTGCATTGTTTTAGTTGAATCTTGTAAATTAAAGACAAGTAGTTCTGGAAATTGTTAATTTTTGCAAAGCAAGTTATAATTTGTAAATGACAGAAATTCTTCTATACATTTTTTTTTTTGCCTCTGAATAACATTTGCAAATGAAAATAAATTGTTCTATACTAAAAGTACTTTTTACAACTAATTACAAAATAACTTCAATTCAACATCAGAAAAACAACATCAAAATTTAATTAACAATACATAAAACAGATTGGAAAAAGAAAAAAAAACATTAGTATGTACGCTTTCATTCAGCTGAGCACTGAGACCCTGGTGGAGCTGCTGGACCTGGATGGACTGCCATAGAGAGCCTGGTACGGCCTCTGCCAGCGGGCATCATCTGGGATGTCCAGAGTGTTTGAGTGCATATTTCCACTGTCCAGCAGTGAGGTTCAGGTTTATACTGCAATACAGGGGTCTAGACCCTGGTGGAGCTGCTGGACCTGGATGGACTGCCATAGAGAGCCTGGTACGGCCTCTGCCAGCGGGCATCATCTGGGATGTCCAGAGTGTTTGAGTGCATATTTCCACTGTCCAGCACTGGTTTATCCTGCAGTACAGGGGTCTGGTCTGATTTAAGGAAATGAGGAAAGGACTAATTGTGTAGAGCTATGACAAAGTAATTGGTGGAACAAATATGAGTTACTTTAGTAAAGTACTTTCAGTAACTGCATTTTTAACGCATTGAGGAAAAAATGCATGCATTTAAAACCTTAAGTAAAAGTGTTATCCTTCATACTGTAATGTACTTAAGGTATGAAGAGTAAAAGTAAAAGTAAGCCTATGTATTCTGCAGAAATCAGAGGTCCTGCATTAATATTACTGCTGCACTACAGTGTACTGTATGTTGCATTTTACTTCTGAATATGTTCAAGGCTGTTACATTTTAAATACTGTTGGGCAGTTTAATGTACAACACTGCATG